CTGTACATTCAGTGCTCAGGGAATCTATGAATATTTGATGATTTTTTAAACTTCAAGTGCAGGAATCATGGAACACAGTAAAGAGAACACAGACTCAAGATTTCAATGTCCATCCTGTTATAAATGAAGTCTCATTATTAGCCAGAATTTTAATTTCCCTAACCTTTTCAAAGTATTGTAAGATGAACCAGAGCTTTAAACATACTAAAGAATGTAAACTAAATAATTAAGAATTATATTGCACAGGAAAAGGATAGGAGCTATTAAAATTTAAAATGTGTTAAAGCAAAAGTAACAACAATATATCTACATAGTACAAGAAATGTATTTCAGTATTCACTGTCAGATAGTATGAAAGGTGAGAGGTGCCTTTCATAAAACTTAGTTGGAACACATGTCACTGTGACGACACCACCACCATCCCCACATGTCCCAACACACGTGGTCACAAGATGGTGTGAACAAGGTAGGGAGAGAAAGTTAAATCAAGTTGATGTTCACTGCAAGAAAAAAACATTCCTATTTTCTTTAATTTGAGAATATGTTCTTTCAAACAAAATCCTAGAGCCCATCAATGAGCTAAAAGCTGCTTGTTTTCTCTAACCCCTTTAAAGGTCCCTGTTACTGGAAAATGGAAAGTGGAAGTTTTTTTATTTTGTTTTAATAGAAACATGGCTGTGAGTGTTCCATGAAGTGATGCAAGATGAAACAAAGCCCCCCGGAAAAAATGACACCCAGGGACAAGTTTTTCTGAGTGTGTTCTAGAGTCTGACCTGTGTGGTGTCAAGAAGGTGCGGAAAGCTCTGTGAGGACAATCTCTAACGACCTCGTTGGATCCTTCACTGAGACCACTCTAAGAAAATGCCACTTAAATGACATTGGAGTAAATTTTCAACCTTAAAAACATGCAATTAAGACTCACTTAAATGTGGCAACTAAAACTAACTTACTAAAAGCAGATGATCAAGTGTTACTTTTTATTTCTAGATTAGACATATATGATAACTGAATGCACACACATTATTCAAAAATAAGTAAAACCAAAAGCATCCTTACAAAAATATATTTAAAAGTTCTCGGATGACTTGATGACTCTGTTACACAGTGATGAAATGCTTTTCAAAAAGACTGACTTTGCACAGTTTTCTGTGGGCACGCATTCATGTTTCCCACTTTTTCTTCAAACACCTAGCAGAATTAAGAACATGAGTGTAAGATCTGGGGGAAGCACACAAATTTGCATTAGGGTAGAAGCATAGAGAAAAAGTAGTGATGGGAGATGACCAGAGCAGTGGGATAAAGTATGTGGAAAGAAGACTGCAATTACGAATCATAGCTCATTCAAATACATTCCCCTAAAACTGGTGAGTCCTCTCCGGTTACATTCGCCAATCTGATGTTTTACTCCTGAGAGCGGTTTGGATAAAATACGAATGCGCTAATACGAACCTTTTGTCTGTTTCTTTAACTTTGAGAAGAAGCTAATATGTCATCTTCTAATGACCTATGCAGTCATTTCTTGTCATTAGCATGTATTGGCTTTGGCAAATGTGTTCTGTGAGTGCCATTCCTCTCTCAACACCCACACTTATTTACTGCCTCATAACCTCCTCCCTCCAATAGTTTGTGGGAGTGGAAAAAAAACATGAAAGGGGGAAAAAGACAGCTGGTTTCCACAGAAAGAACACTACATCTGCGAGCCCTACCCTGTGGCAAGCTAGAGCAGGCTCTACTGGCGCAGGGGGTCAGTTAAATGGGCAGGAATTTGCCAGCCAGTTGATAAACACATCCATTATTAAAAATTAAATATTATAAAATTAAATATCAGTAAATCATATTAAAGACAGAGGTACTAAATATTTAAAACACATCCCTTCCTACTCGTTTTACTGTGCTTTACTTTATGCTTTTGAGGTTATTTGTGCCTATTTTATCTGTTTAACAAAAATAGTACTTCAGCTTGGCCAGCATGGGAGTATTTACACCAAAGAAATGGGCAAATGCTAAAAATCCACGTGTAACAGTGTTTTGTTGATAGTCTAGGGTTAAGAAAGCAATGGAGAATCTTTTTTCTAATAATGCTTATTAAACCTAAATGTGTCATGCCATTACTGTCGGTAGCACACAAAAACTGACAATGATTTTCCAGTATTTGAAAACTTACTCGAGTCAGCTAAGAATCTGCTCAGGTGCAGGAGAAGGTTGTGGGGGGGGGCATGACCTCCTGCTGACCCTTGAGCAGCACCAGGACAATCAGAGGCTCCTCACCCTCTCATGCCCTGGGAATGTACATTCTGTCCACTGTGTTCACAGTAGGAGCCATTTCAAGGACAAAGCCTTGAGAGCCCCCTGTGTTGTTGAGACCATCTGGATGCTATGTGTGACTGAAACCCATTAAGGCCTTTACACAAACTTTAAAGATTCTGGCAGGGGAAGGAAGGCACAGAAATGAACTCATCTTGCAGCTGCCCAAGACACAGCATCCATGGAAGTCCCCTTGCTAACGGAACCTGCCCCTGCCAATCTGAGTGGTCTGCTTCTTTCTTCAGTGTCACCTTGCCCCCTGTGAAGACGGCCAGTTTCAAACTGCACCAGGGGAAGTTTCCCTGGTTGCAAACCATCACCATGTCATTGGTAGAGAGAAGTTCCAATGTTGGCTTCCTTGTTACTCCTCAGAGTAAATACACATATTAATCAGCATTCATGTCAGTACTAGGGAACCAAGAGCTCATCAAATTCAACAAAATGGTTCTGCCAGAATTAACTGGCTATACTGAATTTACAATTAAGAGTATTATATATTTTATCATTACTATTCATCAAATGAGTGCTACACATCCTATGTACTACACAGTAATGTAATACACACATACATGTTTTGTTTGATTTCCAATTATTAAGTGTTTACTGTCTCTACCATACAAAAACCATTGATCTGGAAAAGTTTTTAACTATGAGTATCACCTTCCCCATCTGCCAACTAGTGAAATGGGGGCCCTTCCTCAGATGATAATTTTAAGAGTAAAATAAAATAGTGTGTATGCAAAAACCTTATATGGGTTGCAAATGTTAATTATTATCATCAATTCAGCAAACATGTTTCACCTCCTAATGTGAGTTCTCCTAGGGACTTGCAGGGTTTACAAAGATGAATACTGTTTGATCATTATCCTCAGGTTACTTACAGACTAGTGATGAGAGACACCTGTATATAACAAAATAATTTGAGGGGGTGAAGTGTGTTCAAGCAGAGGAAAAAGCAAAGTGCTATGCGATTTAAGAAAAAGACATGATTGATTTTTGCCTTGAGCACCAGGGAAGATTTCATAGATAAAGTGGAATTTTGAAATAAGCTTTGAAGAGTAAGATGCATTTGTAGCAACTGGGAAGGTGTATGGGGAAGGAAAGGGGCATTTCAGGATGAAAGAGTAAACACCAAACACAGCATCATCACAAATATTACAATACCCACTGAGGAAATCATGAATGGGTTGATAAATCCCCTATATCAAAAACCCTTACCATCCATGTAAAATGGAAAGAATTATGTTACTATAGATCATACAAGCCAATGTGTCTATCTATATAATCTTGCATATATCAAGGTTGACTATTACATTTTTACAACTTATGAGCCATGTCCATTTCTCATAACTAAAGTAAAAATTATCCTCTGGGCTTTTTTTTTTAAGAAAAGATGTTCAGGTAAATTTTAAATTATTTTTCAAGAAAATGCTATAAAATATGTCCTATTTAACAGGACAGAAGGAACTGTCCCTTTGATTTAAAGAAAAGTAGCCACTGATTTCGAGTCTATAAATACATAAATTATGTACTTATTAAGTGAACATTGAAGACCACATCTAATTTGAGGTTTTTATGGGAGAGTGGAACATTGAGGCCAGGGAAAGCTGGAACCTTTTACAACATCCATGGGAACAAGGACTAACTATTAAAGGAAGAGTATAATTTTAACCTTCATTTAATGAGTCTCGCAGGGGTTGACATTCCTGATTAAACTTCACTGAAAAGCATTTCCCTCTTGCTAGTCAAAATACACTAGTTAATGTTTGTGACTTTAAAAAGCAAACAACACTTTGACGAAAGCTTGGCAGAGCATCTACAGAGTCGGTCTTAAGTTTAATACACGGAAAACGTCTATTAATCTCTCATACACAAAACTCTGACACAAAAGGTCTGTGGCCTTGACCTGAAGTGACAACGCAATAGACCCCAGGGCCAGTCTAGGTCCCACTAGGACATATGTTAAGAAAAGCATTTGCTTCATACTGAAAGCCCTTTTACTCTCCCGCACACCACCCGAGCCTTTCAGTCTATTCTCTCCCTAGTGACAGCTGTCAGTCTGTCGCAATCTGAACACGCATCATTTCAACAAAATCTAAAGCGAATTTGTAAGGGCAAGGGTTGAAATACTTTTTTAAAAAACGCACCGCCAGACCTCGGTTCTTGGAGATCAAAGAGTCCTCAAGCACCACTTTCCAACCTGATAAAGGTAAGAACGACCTCACTGTGAACTAAGAGTTGAAGCTGCTCCTGTATCTTCAGAACCTGGACATTCCCAGGCACCTTCCCGTGCAACAACGTTACTGGGAATACCCGAATAAAAAAGAGCCCACGAGTCCCCGTGAAACTTCAGCTGGGATGTAGTGTGTGCTAACGCCAGTTTTGCAACCCAGGAGCGGGTAAAGCGCTCAAACCCTGGCGGCTGGGCAGCAGCCACAGGACCTCGTGGCGACACCCGGCGGGGGCGCGATGAACCCCAACGCGCGAGACCAAAAGGGCAACCGCGCCCTCCCTCAGGGCAGGAGTGACCCGGTGAGTGCCCGCGGCCGGAGGGCAGTGTGAGTCCGAGCTACAGGGAGGCTAGGAGATGGCAGGAGCGCCAGCCCCGCGCCCGGAGCAGCGGCTCCGCGGAAGGAGCCGGAGAGGCCGGTCCCAGGGCCGGGACGGTCAGGGGTTAGGGCTCGAGTGGCACTCACCAGCTGCAACGCGCAGAGGCAGATGAGTGAGCAGCGCCCGGTGCAGCAGCCCATGTTGCCCGCGGCGACCAAGCGGCGCGCGCGGCCAGAGATCCGCGTCTTCCGGCGCCGCCGACTCCAGAGCAGCCCCCACCCGGGGCTCGCCGGCCCGGCCCAGGCTCGCCCTCCCCGCGGACGCCGCTTTCCTCGCTCGGGTCTGCACTCGGCTCGCCGCCTTTGTTAGTTTCCCGGGCGGACAGAGGTCAGTACGGCGCGCACAACGCGAGCGTCTGGCGGAGGTTCCTGCCTCCCACGGTGCGGGTCCGCTTCTTGGGGAGGGGGAGCCGAGCCGGTAGGGCGGGGGGCGGAAGGGAGGCTACAGATGGTGAGTGGGTGGAAGTCTGTTTAGGGGAGGGGAGTATGTAGGAGGTGGGCGTCTGAAAAGTGGAGTGGGCTGTCTGCGTAGAGGGGGGAGCGAGAGAGTGAGAGAGAGAGAGAGAGTGTGTGTGTGTGTTATGAATGAAAGGGAGTGCCGCTGAGAAGGATGGCCTGTGTCCTAAGAGTCTTTGAAGAGAGAGAATGAAGGGATTAAGAAGAAGGAGGAAAAACTCGTAGACAGAGACCGCAGTACGGTGATCACCAGAGGGAAAGGGGGTGGGGGTAGGTAGAAGAGGGTGAAGGGGGGATAAATGGTAATGGAAGGAGACTTTACTTAAGGCAGTGAACACACAATAGAATATACAGATGATGTATTATAGAATTGTACACCTGAACATATATGACTTTATTAACCAATGTCACCCTAATAAATTCAATATATTTAAAAAAAGTGAATATGAATGAGAGTGAAGTAGGGTGTCTGGTGGTGATGGAAACCATCAGCGGTCCACGTAACTGGGGAGACCCCGGCTGCGCTTTCTCGCTTGGCGTGTTTGGGTGTCGGGATGGTGATCAGAGGAGTGTGTAAAGGAGGGGAAGGGATTTTGGTGAGCTGCCCGGTTGCTAGAGAGGGAGGGAGTTTAGATGGCTTGGTGTCCGGAACGTAGGGCCCAGAGGCGAGCAGCTCGGGGCGGGTGAACACCCTGGAGCGCCGGTGGGGCGCAGGCGGAGCTCCAGCACCCCAAGGCTGCTAGCGGGGGCGGCCGCAGAGGGACTGCGGGCGCTAGGCAGGCGAGTCCGCTCCGCCCGGCGCCGGGCGCTCAGCTCTGGGGATTCGCGGACGAGGCCTCTCCTACCACAGTCTGTTTGTTGCCCAAGGACGTCCCGGGTGGAGACTGGGAGGGAAAGTTGGATTTGGACCCAAGTGGTTTGGAGAGAGGCACGCGGCGTTGTTAGGCGCCGGGTCGGAGTGTGGCCGGAAAAATAAACAGGAACGGCCAGCGGAACCTTTTGAAATTGACATCAAGCGTGAAAGAAGAAAAGCCGAGAAAGAAGAGGATTCGGGCCTTTTTTTTACGAATTGAAATTTTGTCCCGGGGTGAGGATAAATATGATTTCTTCCCAGGGAGAATCAAGTTGTTTGAAAAGAGCATGAAGATGAGAAAACCTGGTCCGGGATAGTAAAGAACTGGGCGTAGGAAGTCTGCAGGCAACGAGGACATTTCATCAGGGCTCAGCGTCAGACTGCCTGGGTTCCATTGTCGTACTAGGTGGAACTAAGCAAGTAGCTCCAGCACGCCAGAAGAGCAGGGACAAGCCTCCTGGCCATTTGTCTCAAAAGAGGCTTCTTCATAACTTGGCACAGAAACCCCGTTTCTAACCCACTGCTGCCCTCCTGGGTCCTTAGTGGTAGGTTCGTAAGTAAAGCAAGAGATTTTTACCTTACCTTTAAAACATTCTCTCTATACCTGGAAACTCTGCTCAAACCATCCTTTAGGAATTCAAGGGAGTTCTGTTTTTATTTTATTTTATTTTATTTTATTTTATTTTATTTTATTTTATTTTATTTTATTTTATTTTATTTTATTTTATTTTATTTTTGCAATTAACTGGCTGTTTCTGAACTATGTCTTCGGGATTCATGCTTATAACTTAAAAGAGAGTTCTCAGGAAAACCGTTGCATGATGTATTTGAAACCTTAGTAGAGACACACAAATAATCGCAGGCCTTGGGTCAATAAAAAGTTCAAGAACATTCATTGTTTTGGTTCCTCCTCTGTCCATTACTTTGGAGAAAGGGGGAAAAAAAAGAGTCAGAAGCTTTTTTTTTTAACCCAGTCTTTAAAGACTCAATGACCAAGGATCATGAGGGCATGCTTCTTTTACACTGAGAACATAACCATCACCGTCCGTGGTGGATGAACACAATTGGAAAACATGGACCCTGGCAAATAAATAACTTAGCATAGAGAAAAGAACAGTGAAGAAAGTTTGAGGCTATAGGCCCCTCTGAAAGCTGAAGAGTGAGGAGACATGAGCAAGACTTATCTACAGCTTCTGGAAATTAGTGCAGCCTGTTCATCTCCAGAGATGGTACTGAGTTACGATAATGAACATAATGATCCTTCCTTCCCTCTACATTATATGTGTTTACCCCAATACATCCCAATACATGTTTTCTTTTATCGTCTTATTTATTTATTTAAGAAATACCAAATTTTGCAGCTAACATGTATTGGGTCCTTGCCAGACACCAGTCTAAGTGTTTTATGTATATTCACTTCATTTAATCCTACAACAGCCAGGAAGCTGGGTGCTGTGAGCATCCCCAGTGAAAATGGACAAATGGAAACAGGGATTTCATGGCTATTAAGTGGGTGGAGAGAAATGCAAAGCCAGGTGATCTGATTTAAGATCTCCTGGATTGAGGCATTTATTGTGCTGCCTCTGCAATTTAGGATACCAGTAACACCTAAGCTCCACCTAACTGCTCCAGTGGGAAGTGGGTAGCAGGTTGCCTTGATCCTTCCGCCAGAGTCCGTGCCACCCTGTGCTGTGGTTTCTGGGACTGAGGAAGGTCCTCCTGTGCCTTTCCTTCCCTTTCCCACTGCCCCCTCTACTGATATACTCAGACTGCAGTTTCTTTCCTGTATAATTTAAGTCAGTTGAAAATGCATTTAACTTCCAAAGGGAGGAAGAGGGAAGAAGCAGAGATAACACAATGCTAGTAACAACTCTGGACATTACAGGGAGCTATCTTTATTTGTTTCTACAATCTCTTATTCTCATTTTCTAAATCAAACTACGTCCTGAACTAAAAATCTTCATCCCTTCTTTGTTCCCTTCCTTCCTCCATATCTCCCTCAAACATTTCTTACTTGCTCCATTTCTTTATTATGTTTAGGGTTATGCTGGTTGCTAGGTTCGCGACAGTAAATAAATGACTCCTTCCTTTCTCTTCAAGGGCGTGGAGGTGGGAAGGGAGAGCAAACACATCAATGAAACAGAGCCCACTCTGAAAGAGTTTGGTACCAAGTATTGTCATTAATTTATCTTCTTGTGAGGATAAGGGAAAGTTTAAAAGAGGCTTATCTTTCTCAGGGAGAGAAACAGTGGAGGACTTCTTCCTTGAGGAGGAAGATTAGAAAATGACAGAAAGGGTGGGGTCAGGGAAGAGTTCGGAAAAGTTGTTGGAGGGAATAATAATCTAAGTAGAACAGCCAATCTGATGTATGGTGGGTCATGCCATTGCTAGACGTAGAATCTCAGAAAGTCACTTTACTTCCCTGTGAGGCTTTTTCCTAATTGAACTGAGTCTGATGATATGACTTTCTCCATGGGACTAACCCTAACATCTGTTCTTCATGCTTCACCTACGTGTGTTTTACACCCCCCCCCGCAGGTCTCGGCCTCATGCCTCGTGCCGTAGAGGCCTTCACTGACTTCCACGTCTGAGGGTGAGTCCAGGCACTGTGTTGCATTTACACTCAAAACATTGATTTGTCTGCTTTATAATTTGCTGTCTCCTTACTTAATATACTTATATTTCTTGAATGAAGATAGTGTGTGCATATTTTGGCATAATACTTCACACATAGTGTTGATATAAATGTATATACATATATGTAGCATATAGTAAGCATTAAACATATATGTATACACATGCACACAGACCCCAATGACATTCAAGTCCATGCTTTATTCCTTCTATCTTTTTAATTTATCCATTTCTTGGTAAAATGCCTTTTGAGAAACTCCAATTCTGTCTTCCTTGAAGTTGAGCAAGAAGCAAATTATCAATACCAGCGAGATTCAACCTTTTTTATCTCATGGCATACATAAACTAATTACTAAAATTATGTGGCATACCAAAAACATATTATATATTCAGCTGATCTGACAGAAAATATAGGTATCATTTTGACTGACTTATAAAAAATAGTAATAATAGTACTTACCTATTCTTTTTGCTCCAAAGTGACTTTTTAAAAAATCAGGTGCCCATACTAGTATGTAAGAATTTCTGGTACCAAGAGCTAACCAATCAAATGCAACTTTATTATCAGATGTGACCAATAAGTCCCAGCTGGTGTGGCTCAGTGGCTTGAGCACTGGCCTGTGAACCAAAGATGGCTGGTTTGATTCCCAGTCAGGGCACATGCCTGGGTTGCAGGCCAGGTTCCCAGTAGGGAGTGTACGGGAGCAAATCACACATTGATGTTTCTCACTCCCTATTTCTATCTCCCTTCTACTCTATCTAAAAATAAATAGGTAAAAAATGTAAAAAATAGACATGACCAATAAGATGCAACTCGATGATATGACATATTTATGGTTCAGGACCTGGCATTCACACTGGATGATTATTATTGTGTTGGCTGTTGCCATTTTTTAACTTGCCAATCTAAGGGGAAAAAGATTGGTGCTTCTGACTAAATAGTCAGGTTTTCCATGTTTTATAAACTCTTGCAGCAGGGTGGTTGAAAATCACTGACCTATATATCCCAAGACTAAGAGTAACTAGGTGGAAGAGAGCACACCTAGAGTCCAGACCTGGAACTGCAGATTTTTAGATTCCACAGGACTTCCGACACTAGGATTTGAGACCACAGCTTGACGGAATCAAAGTTCCTCCTTAATTAAGTCACAGTTGTTTCCTTTTAAACCTTCCATTTTGGCATTTTTGTTCGAATGAAATAGGGTACAATCTGATCAAGTATCTTTCTATCACCATTGAGGAAATTTCCTAAACGCACCACTAAGTAAGTACTTTTTCTCTGGTGCTGCCTTCTTGGAGTAAGCAAATTCTAATCTAATCCTCTAACCTCCTTCTACAACTGGTTTAACTTCATGATTCTCTGACAAACCTTGGGAAACAGTGTGGCGGCCCAGTTGGAGCGAAGATGAGGTTCACACCGGAGCAAGGCTCGGAGACACCCCTGTGGAGAGGCGGACACGTGGTGGGAAGGCTGCAGTGCATGCGTGTGCTGCCCAGTGCCTGCTGAGATCACGCTGCTGGTTAGAACCGACTCGCTTGCTATGCCCAGCAACAGATGTCCCAGAATGTTGGGGACCTGGGGAGGAGATGGCCATTATAACTCAATATTTTCTCACTCCATGAGACATACTTCCCGCTACTATAAGCACTTTACATCATAACATTTAAAAGTGACCCCCCCCACCCAGAGGGTTGTTTTATTGGGAGGTAAAGTGAGAAAGAAGTAGGCGATGGATGTGTGGTATGGGAGGGATTTTAAGGACACTGGAAAGCCCAGTGGATGTCACAATTATAAAAAAGAGAAAGAATGTGAAAATTTCTTTGGTATATTTTGTTTCAAGAAATGGTAGTAATAACTAGTTTTAAAACTTAAAAAAGCACCATCTTTTTTGTTCCTGTTTGGGTTAACAATAAGGCTCAATTGTATTACCTATCATACTCTTCAGTGGTCTAATAACTCTTGTTACTATTATCATAATTATTATTATAATGATATGCTTTTGGAGTTTTTCTAGTGTCATGTACTGAGCAGCCCCAACTGAGCCAGACAAGCTCAGGCACTTCTTACCACAAAATGCATTGCCATTGGAGATTTCTCCACAAGAAGCCTCGCTGCATACCACCTACATCAGAGTCCTTATATTACAGACACACACGTGTCCTTCCCGCCATTCATTCGCTCCCCTGCCCTCTGCTTTTCTCAACAGTCCAGGGATCAGATCAGACTCCTCTGCCTCACAGCTTAATCAGACCCCTAACGACTGGCCATAATGAACAAAGAGAAAAGGTAGCATGGCCGAAAGTGAGAAGGAAAACATTAATACGAAGTCTTAGTGAATCCTGAGGCCACCAGCGTGGCTTCTGCATCCATATATCTATGTACCTGTCTACTAAATTTCATGAAGTGTTCCAAGGTAAAGAGAAGGTACTTTCCTTTTATCCCCCATTTTTAAACCAAAAAAAGTCTTTTAAAGTTTTTATCCATTAGAGTACCATTAATAGAACATCTCTTTAGATGATGTACCTTTGCATTAGATTTCCTCATATCTGTGTGGTTCTAGGATCAGTCCTAAATTTCTATGTAATGCTCACGTAAGACTTAATATATGGAAGGTTTATGGGATTTCTGTAATTCACTTTGGCACCTTTCTTAATCTAAGTTCATTTTAAAATAAGTAGTTAAAAATAATGTATGCAGTACTGACCAGGCTGCCACAGGAAATGTAAAACCTAACATAAAGTACATTAGCTCAGGATAATATGGAGCAAACTACTTTTTAGTCATATGTGAATGATAGATACTTTTTATTTCCCAGTGGTATTTTAGTATGCAGAGAAAATCCTCCCAATTTATACCATTGCACATAAATATTTTATTTTTAAAATCAGTGACACAAACTTACATTTCACCGTGAACACGCCACTGCTTTTCCTATGCATTTATTCCAGAAATCTAAAGAAATTTAAACAACCATTAAAGATAGTACAACCATATAATTTCCCTTTATATTTTTGAATGGGAAAATAAGAAAATGAAACTGCTAGTGAGAGAAGAGGCGCAGTCATTTGTAAACATCACTGTGATATCTTGAGGCAGTCTTAGAAATTAGAAGCAGCAGTCGAGGCCAAAAGCCATAGATTCCCCGTGCATTTAGTAGATCCCACATGTGCCCTCTGTAAGGCCATGGTCTCACCTGAAAAGATGCAGCTCACACAGGAAAGCACGTTGGGGCCATGCAGCACCCTTTCCCCTTGGGTTGGCTGCATGGTTTCCACAGGGTGCATGTACTGAACAGTGGTAGGGAACTGACAGGCTCTGAGTACAGTGGTAAACACAGCTCACTTTTTAATACATCACATTTAAAAAGAAGTTCATTAAAATAGAAAGTAAAAGGCACAGAAGGCCAATTTCTTTTTATAAACAACATGGAGTACACAAACAGGTCCTCAGGTTTGTACCCAAACCGCTGGTGGTAAGACCAAGTGGGAAACACACAGGAGTAATTTTCCCAGCGGCGCAACCAGTCTGGGGAAAGCCGTGTTAAGAGAGCATCCAACAGAGTTTGGAGTCGAGGGTCTGGCTGTCCCACTCACATCCCTTTGTCTGCATCATTTCATTGCATGGGGGTCCACCTTCTCCTGGCAGCACCTCTCTCTGTCTTACATGCAGGCCAGGCTGCAGTTCTGGAGAATTAACCACATCCCAAGAGCAACTGGAATCCCAAACAAAAGGAGTTGCTATACAAACACCTGAGCAGCCTGGCCCCAGAGAAGATGACTCGGGTGCATATTCCATATCATTTTCAGAGTTCCCCAGCTGGGGTGGTCCACCGGGGTAATTTGTTTCATGATCCACCTTTTACTGGCCCTCCTCCTCCTTGGTTTCAAGTCCACACTCCTTGACTGTGGTTTCCAGGGATCATCTCTCAAACTGCTTACTCCAATTCCTATCTCAGGGTCTGCTTGCATGAAAGCCCCAACTAGTCATGGTTATTCTCGCCTGGTCTTCCATTCTTGACACCAGCATCTTTTTAAAAAAAATAATTTTATTTAGTTATTTTTCAAGTACAGTTTTTTTGTCTATTTCTCCCATCCCAGCCCCCCCCCCCACCCTGTGCTCCCCACCTCCCTCCCATTTCCGCCCCCCTTAGTTCTGGTCCTTGTGTCCTTCATATTTGTTCCTCCAAATCCCTCCCCTGCTTCCCCCTTAAATTCCTGTCCCTCTCCCCTGTAGTCACTGTCCCCTTGTTCTCTATTTCAGGGTCTTTGTTTTTTTCCCTGCTTGCTTGTTTGTTTTGTTGTTTAGCTTCCTGTTAAAGGTGAGATCATATGGTATTTGTCTTTCAACACCTGGCCTATTTCACTCAGCATAATGCTTTCCAGTTCCATCCCTGTTGTTGCAAAGGGTAGTATCTCCTTCTCTCTCTCTGCTGCATAGAATTCCATTGTATATATGTACCACAATTTTTTGATCCATTCATTTACTGACAGGCACCTAGGTTGCTTCCAACTCTTGGCTATTGTAAATTGTGCTACTATGAACATTGTGGTGCACAGATTCTTTGAAATTGATGTTTTAGGATTCTTGGGATATAATCCCAGCAGTGGAATTGCTGGGTCAAAAGGCAGGTCCATTTTTATTTTTCTGAGAAAATTCCATACTGTTTTCCATAATGGTTGTACCACTCTGCAATCCCACCAACAGTGAACTAAGGACCCCTTTTCCCCACAACCTCTCCAACATTTGTTGTTTGTTGCTTTGTTTATGGTAGCCATCCTGACTGGTGTAAAGCGGTATCTCATTGTGGTTTTAATTTGCATCTCTCTGATAGCTAACGATATTGAGCATCTCTTCATGTGTCTCTGGATCCTCTGTATGTCCTCCTTGGAGAAGTGTCTGTTCAAGTCCTTCGCCCATTTTTTAATTGAGTTAGATATCTTCTTAGAGTGTAGTCATGTAAGTTCTTTGTATATTTTGGAGATTAAACCTTTGTCTGAGGTATCATTGGCAAATATGTTTTCCCATACAGTTGGTTGTCTTTTTAATTTAATACTGTTTTATTTAGCCACACAGAGGCTTTTTATTTTGATGAGATTCCATTCTTTCCTTTATATCCCTTGCTCTAGGGGACATATCAGTAAAAATGTTGCTGTGTGAAATATCTGAGATTTTCTTGCCGATGTTCTCCTCTAGGACTTTAATGGTGTCACGGCTTATATTTGAGTCTTTTATCCACCTTGAATTTATTTTGGTGTATGGTGTAAGTTGGTGCTTGAGTTTCATTTTTTTTGCATGTAGCTGTTCAGTTATGACACCAGCATCTCGAGTAAATAATCAGTAGGATTTTATCCCATTTTTTATGAATTAAAGCAACTTGAAGGAGTCCTTAAATCCAGATTTCATAAAGATCACAAAAAGATGAGTGGATATGGCTTAGCCCACAACATAGGATCAAAACTGCATGTGATCCTGGTCACTAACCCAAACACTACAATACACCACATATTAGAGATTCCACACAGTCGGAAAGCTGATGTGAAATTTCCCATTTCCTGCTCACTAAAGACCAGGAACACTCCTGGGGAAAATTGACTACAAGAACTAACTGTTTTGATTGTGTCTGTCTTTCTCTTCCAGCATTGACAGATTCTGCCAAGCTTACTTGGACATATTCTGTATCATCATGGTCCCCAATGAGGTAGGCTTGCCCATACATCAACAGCCTTATTCTAATTGTATGTCAGATACTCTCAGTCTCTACTTATGAGTAGTTCAGAATCGATTATCAGTACAAAGCTATCCTTACATCCCCAAAACGTTGCTGCGGCCAAGGGTTTTCTCCAGCTAGCCTCTCATGAGCTCCTCGTATTACCAGTGAGAGCTTTTCTCTTTGTTTGCAGAGCTCAGTGCTCTCTCTGTGCGTCCTCATTTTGAAAAGGAAAGGGGAGCCCTCATGTGTCTACTCCCTTTGGCAGGAAGAACAACTTCCAGATGGTGTCTTCCTTTGAACTGCAAGCAGAAAGTGACACCTGTGATACTTGCTATCAAGTCAACCTGGAGGTTTTACTGCTTTACTATTTAATTCCAGTGAGGTAATGACACACTGATTAATGACTTGGATTTTCTTCCTTAACTGTCCTGGAATGACAGATACTTCCCAGGGTGAAAGGCATAGATAGAGGCCCGTCTCAGTTACAGTTAAACTTGAACCTGTGGGAACACATGTCAAAGCACATTAGAAACAAGAAAGCTACAAGGTCCTTCTGCCATTTATTCCTGCTACAAATGACTGCTTGGCAGACCATCCTCACAGCATAAACCACCCCTGAACATCAATGCTTGGCCCGGATTTATAGTTCTAAGTTGCAATTATATCTTTTAATTCACTTAGTTCTCAAAATAACCACAGAGGTACCTAGAATAAGTGACTCACTCAGCTAATCTGTGGCTGTTATCTCTTTTTCTGCCCCATAGCCAATGCTTAGCATCAACAAAACACATGCACCCTATACTAAGGCAAGTAGTAACTTGCCTTAACTAATTAGCTGCGGTAACAAACCAATCCTAAATCTTAGTGGCTTTACACAATAAAATTCATCTTTCCCTCACACAAACATTCCTCGTTGGGGGGAAAAGATTATCCACCGAGCACAATCATCTGCTGACTCAGCTCCTCCTTCCTCCCATTCAGTTAATTGAAGAGGAAAGGGTGAGAGAATTTAGCATGTAGGAGGTTTTTAATGGCCGGACTCAAACAGAGTACATCATTCTTGGCTTATTCACCAGTGCATACTCTCCCATATGGCCACACCCAACTGCTAGGGAAGCTGGAAGATGTGATCTAGCTCCAGGACCAAGAAGAAAAAGAAGAGGATTTGGATGGCACTCCGTAAGGTGTGATAGGCTGCTTCTCAACTCATTTCATCCTGTAATCCTCATGAGAATAATACCCTCTCTCCTCCGTGCACTTCCCTTCTCTAGAGAGTGTTCATCCATGCTGGTGGCTGAGCTCAGATGTTGCCTCCTCTGTTGACATGCTTATTCCCATCCTGAATTTGTGTAAGGTGCCCCTCTTTCTTGTTTGCTTCCCATTCTTAATTATCCTCTGTTACTGAATTACAGAAGCTCTACTAACACTTCTTATCTTTGAATAGTGCATAATAATGATAGAACATATTTGTTGAGCTACTAAACAATGGTCCCCACCTCTTCTGTTACATTCCCTGGTGGTACCAACATGCAATCCTCCAACAGGTGCTAGACTGACTCCATACGAATCACCTGCAGAGTCTGCTATACCTAGTCTAGTCCCTCAGTGCCAAGCCCAACGGATCAGGTCTCCTTCCTTCCCCCTCACAGCAGAGTGTGCAGCCCAACCTCACTGACATTAGGCTCAGTCAGTCATATGATGGGCTTTGACCAATGGAATGTGGGCAGAGGGTAGGTCGGTTTTAAGGGGTTTTAAGGGGCATCACATGTTTTTGTTCACCTTATGCTTCTACCATCTGCCATGAGAAGAGTGGCCCCAGGTGGTTGCTGTTCCTTCCTTGTATGCTAGAATGAGAGGCACGAGGAGCCAACCTGAACCCGGGCCTAGCCCTGCCCAGCTGAGTCACATCCAGCTTGTGCAGGTGAAGAAATTCAGCGAGAAATGAATGTAAGCCACTGAGCTTTTTAGCAGTGTCTCTTACACACCATTACTGAAACCAAAGCTGACTAATACACCTTCCCACCCTGATTCTTTTATAATTGGTCAGGATGGGACCTAGACATCGGTTTTTTTTTTTTTTTATGTTTAGCCACCTCAAAGGAAACTATGGTACACATTTGTCCCCTATTCAGTAGGGAGGAAACCTAATATCTAAGCCCCTGGAACAGAGCAGCCATTTCCCCAATCACATTCCAGGGCATATGACTTTAGATAGATTCCCAGCAGACCTCCAGTGGCAGCTCATCATGAGCCCTGCTGCAGGGAAATTGGGAGGCAGGAGAAGCCTGGACGTGACTACTGACGTCCCCTTTTGACCTCAAAGTGGGTGGCGGTGCTGTAAGAGCCTCTTTAGGATTCAAGTCGGTCTATTTTTTTCTTTCAACCAGAATTCATTGTTTTATCTCATTATTACTATTTAAAATGATCCACCTTACCCAATTTTATATGATCAGTTTTTCTCTCTAACCATTAGGTAATATAATTTGAAGGTAAAATAATTATATTCTGTATATAGTCTATAGGAATGAGAGACAAGGTTAACTTTGAATACTATGGTTAATGTTTCCTATGTCTAAAAGGATTTTTTTCCTACATGTCTGGCATGTAGGATGTTACCATTGGCTATTTTTAAAAAGATGTTAAAGTGCTTTAGGGAATGTATTGGCAAAAAATATTGCTACGTGGAATATCTGAGGTTTTACTGTGTATGTTTCCTTCTAGGAATTATATGGTTTCATGGCACACATTTAAGTCTTTTATCTGTTTTGAGTTTGTTTTTGTGTATGGTGTAAGTTGGTGGTCTAGTGTCAATTTTTGCATGTACCAGTCCAGTTCTTCTAACACCATTTATTGAAGAGATGGTCTTTGTTCCCTTGTATGCTCTTGCCAACCTTGTCAAATATCAACTGATTGTACAGGCATGGGCTTATCCTGCGCTTTCTGTTCTGTTTCATTGGTCTGTATGTCTGTTCTTATGCCAGAACCAGGCTGTCTTTATTACAGTGGCCTTGTAATATAGTTTGATGTCAGGAGTTGTGATACCTCCAGCTTTGTTCTTCTTTTGCAAGATTGCTGCGGCTTTTGGGGGCCTTTTTGGTTCCATATAAATTTTTGGAATATATGTTAACCATGGACATGGACAACAATATGGAGATTGACTTCGGGAGGGAAGAAGGTGGGGCTGGGTGGTGGAGGGGGAAGGGAGAAAAGGTGGGAATAACTGTAACAGGATAAACAATAAAAATAAATTAAAAAAAGAAAAGATGTTAAAGTGATTTTATATCTCTTTTTTAGCTCTAGTAATATCACCACATATTGTTTCTCCAGTTATGCAAGCTCTCTGTTCATGAATTAAGGATATGCAATAGGTGTAAAGAACCTGACTCCATGTAGCTGTGTTTATATCTTATGGTTGAATAAGTAACAAAAGAATTTGACTTTTGCTATTTCTTTGGCAGAGTAGGGCAGGTGTAAGGAGAAGAAATACATTTACCTCTATAAATACAAGGTCTTGTTTCTTTTATTCTAGTAGGAAAGGAAGAAGAGATAGTCATACGAACCCTGGGAAATTTGTCCCATCTGTGAATCACATTAGGCAGGGAGATTAGAGTACTTTTCATAAAAATAATGGACAATAACCTTCATTTCAAGTACAGAATTATAATCCCAGAGGACAGGCACTTTACGTCAGAATCCTCTAGGAGTCCTTTTTGAGTTGGTCACAGGCAGGAGTCCCAGTCATTCTCTGTGCTTGCTCTGGTAGTTCCTAACTTTTTGTTTGTTGAATAAATGGATGGGCAGATGGACAGTGGTGGGGAGGGGAGAAAACTCTGCTGAGAAAAAGTAGGAATCTTTGAGGAGTCTAATCCAAAAAGCTATGCATGTGATTAAACAAACACTTGCTACCAGAAATGATGCCCTTGGTCCCTGTCCAAGGAGGGTTTTATGCTCCAGCTGACTGCCTGGGGCTTGTTGAGATGCTCATGCAGATAAGTCTTCTGGGTCAGCCTGTCACTTCCAAATGCCAGCTGACCCTGTTTCTGATACAAGTGCTTCAGAAGATTTTGTCTGCTGCTTTCTTTTGTATGGATACCATTGAATATTTTATAGTATCGTGGGCATTTTTAGCGAATTCTATTTTCAGTATATCCTTGAAAAGACAAACATAAAGATGAGCTCATTTTAAATTCATATATCTCATGCTAAGAAAGGACATTCTTCAATGAAATTGAAGCTGTTTATGTAAAATGACTAAGTCACTAAGTATTTGTAAGCAAACTGCGAGGAAGAATATTATCTAAATGCTCTGCAAAAAGAATAGCACAGAAGCAGCTCAGCCTTCTTATCATAACTAATATATGAGCCTGCCATTAATCTGTGTTAAGTTTAACTTATTCTGCAGAAAAAAGAAGTGACTCCTCTGAGCTTAACCAAAAGAAGACAGGCAATTTTTTTGCTCATTATTACTTGGCCTAAGGCACAGGAGTTCAGGCAAAATTTCTTCTCATTGAGTCTAAGTCCTAGGATGTGAATAAAAGGAAAGACAACAAGTATTCCACAGCACATCACCATCACTTTAAGAATAAACATCATTAGATGATCATAAAAAGGAAATGCAGATGGCTTAGTCTTTATATTGGAAAGCACATAGTAATAGTAATTTTGATTTTAAATGAGGAAGGAAAACTCTGGGCACTCTAAGCCAGGTTCTAAGTGCAAGTTTGACCTCAATCTTAATGTTCCTAATCATTTTATAATGCTGAGCAAAAGCTTGGCTAATGATGTCCAGCAGCTCTGCCCAGAAGACATCTATTTCTAAAACATTTGGTGAAAGAGAGCCTGGCTTTCCCCCACTAGTTCAGAATTGTCATGAAGGTTCTCAACGGGAATCCAAGCTTCTCCAGAGCAGGCCTGGCTGAACTTTTGCCTTCCCTACAGGAAACTAGAAACAACATTATCTTAGGGACCTCCTTTAAGATCCAAGACCTTTCAGGACACTTAGCCAAGCTTAACTAACTCCCTTTTCTAAAATGTTTCAGTATAAAAAGCTACTGAAAATCTGGCTTCCTCTATCTCCATGACTCTTTCTGATAATGGAGATGATATGGCTTAAGGGGAGAGACCCTAAGCTTTGCAGACGCATCTGCGTTTGATTTCTCTTTTCCACTGACTGGCTATGCGAAGACCCCATGAATAACAAGGATAGCCATCTTCAAGTCCTATTGTTTTTCCTTGGTCCCCATTTCTTCTGAATCCACTGTTGACCATTGTCCTCATCCACTGGTCTTGTTGCCTACCTGTCAGAACATTCTTTGTTTGTATGATCCAATGCGGATTTAATAAAAATAATGCAATGAAAATAATAGCAAGTCCAATATTTATTGAGACTTTATAATGACCCAAGCACTGTAGTAGGTATTGGGTATAAAACCTTGCCCTGCCCTTAGAGAGCTTATTGCCTGAAGGGAAAAATGAGATTACAAAGAAATAATTGCAAATCTCACAACATAGTACGAGTAGTACCAGTACCAGTAGCAAGAGACTAGGTTATTAAAGCTCCGGAATGCTTGCATGAATATCTTTAGCTTTATTGCCTAGGTCAGTTGTATCTACACATGTTTCATTAGGCATCATTATCACTAAAACATGAGAATACACCAATGACTATACATACACATACATGCACACAACATAAACAGCCAATCCTCGTTATTCACAGAATCTGCAGTTGCAAATTCACCTACCAGATGAAATCTATTTGTAACATTCCAAGCAATACTCACAGCACTTTCACAGTCATTCTCGGACACATGCAGAGCAGGGAGAGAATCTGAGTGCCTGAAGGGCAGGTTGCCAACTGAAGTCAAACAAGTTTCTCTTACTGTAAACAAGTGTTCTTTCTGCAAAAGAACACTTGTTTTCCTGCCATATTTCCCACATTTCTATGATTTATTTGGGAAATTTTGCTGTTTTAAATGGCCCCAAAGTTAGTGCTAAAGTGTTCCTAAGCACAGAAGGCTGTGATGTGCCTTATGGAGAAAGCACACGCATGTTAAATAAGCTGTGTTGAGACATGCACTATAGTGCTGTGGACTGTGGCTAATGAATCAACAATACATGTTAAACAAAGTGTCTTTAAAAAGTAAAACACATAAAACCTCAGCAAGGCCAAGTAGGATAGATTGTAACGATTTGTGTAGACAATTCACATTTTTCCCATGTTCAGTTGACTATGAGGCCAAAATAAACATATCTTTGAGTATGAAAATTTAACATAGGCTCACCAGAGCTGGACTGGAATTTCACCAGTTGTTACTCCCCATAATATGTGCTTTACAATGTCACCATCCTAAGCCATTATCCCAATTTCATAAGATAGTTATCCTCTGGTGTGCAGTTTCTATTAGGATTGCAATATGAAAACCCATTGCCGGTTGCTGGAGACTATAGAGGAAATACGACCACAATCCTCAGGAAATGGAGTCAGAGAGATCCCAGAGAAGGCTCTCAGGAATGAGAGACCTGTTGGCAAAATGAGTCTGAAAGGCCAATATTTCAATCCGAAGAAGACTAGAGAGCATCCTTCACAAGATCTATTTCTACTGAGTGTTAGATCCAGAGGGCGGCCTGTAGGAGTTTGAGATTTCAAAGATGAAAGGATGCTGGCTGATATAAGGGTCCAGATCACAGTCACAGGAGGGAGTAGAAAAAATGTTGTTTGAAAGTGAAATAGACATCGAGTGGTCAAAGAACTCTGCCTCCCTGAAAATGGCAGAAATTGGGATGGGGTGAAAACTTATGAAACAAACAAGCACTAAAATTCTTCCTAAATGTAGAAAAGTGACCCAGAGACTAAAGATCATATAGAAGTAGACAAAAAAGGTGGAATTATAGCCTGATGCTGTAGGCTTCTGTGCATTTTTATTTAAGAATGACAGTAATTGTTTATAAAGACTTGGGGTAGATTGCTTGAGATTCAGAAATGGGCAACAACATGGTGGTGTGGACTGGGTGGAGGGCAGCAGGTGCCACCTACCAGGAAATCTTCATCCTCTTGGGAACGCAAGGATGTGATAGGAGAGTGCTGTGAAGATAATGAAAATATACAACTCATTCACAACGATGTCAGATTCCACTGGGCACAGTCTAATGAGTGAGGATGAGGAGTGGCAGTATTTGAGAACGTGTCAAAGGGTGGAACAGGAGAGCAACAGATAAGGCCAGAGAGACCTGTCTTTGGTTCAGGCCCAATTCTTGCTAAGATGAGAAGAATGGAAGGAATTTTCCCAGCCAGGGAAGGTTCCTATGGTTGATAGTAATATTATCTTATTTCTAGAACTGACTGTATTTCTCAGATGTTACCAGGGACTAGTCTATGCAGAGCTTCCCTTAGTATCCCATAGCATGTGGAAAGATTTGGCTGCAGCCTGCCTGGCTGAACTGTGGTCCAGGGGTGGGTGAGGTGCTAAGGATGGTTTACAAAGCTCTTTATCATCCATCTTCCTGTCCTATTTCTTCCTGGTAGGATTAAATGTCCAACAAAATTCTCTTCCACAACTGAGCTCCACATGGCACATTGCATATGTCCTCTCCACTCTCCCTGGAGAATTTGTAATCAAATTAAAGCATCAATTGAATGTCCACTGCTCTATGAAGTCTAATCCAACTGCTCCTCCTGTCTCCAAACTTTACCAAACTCTTCTTTCAGTCCCGAAGTTGCCAGTGCACTTCAGTCAAACTGAAGATGAAATGGAGCAGCAGAATTGCATAGAATTCGATGGAATCGGATAGAACTGATATGCCCTGAGAACCTTAATGACATGTCTAATGTCTATGTTTAGGGAAGAAATCACTGGCTGAGTTTGATTGTAAATCAACATGTAAACATACTCATCGGGCAAACAAGAGCCAGCCACAGGTTATGGTGAAACCTTTAGACCCTGAAAGCCCGGGGCCAAATCCTGCTCTACCAGGGATTAGCTCCATTGTGTTGAGAAATTGACACTATTTCCATCTTCTTCCATGTAAAATGAGGAACATGATGAAGGTATTAACACGGAAGTGCTATGGGAATTAAATGAGGAAATGCATGTAATGCATTTGACCAGCTGTTGGAGCTGCCCCGACTCACGGTGAATGTTCAGTAATAGGCTGGTAT